AAAAAGTGGTGAATACTTTTGCAATGCACTGTACAGCGAATACATGTTTATTAGTGTTGATGCAAAGAGATGCCTAATATAAATGTTATATGTGTAAGAAGCAAAGAGCTGTCAATACAGTATGAATCATGTACTGTAGACCATTGTATGCCGCTCAAGGAAAAATCTAAAAGTGGAATTATTGTATAGCACCAAATAAAAATAAAAACACACACAATTGAAATATTTCCTTTTTTAAATACGAACTATCACAAAACATCATACGTGTGTCACTATGAAATAATACAAAAGCATTTGTTATTCTATGGTAGATATTTTAAAGGGCCATTTACATTCTCCTGCTTTTATTCTGCTATGTTGTCTTTATATTTTGTCTACTAAGTGAAAAAACAACATGAATTTTAATATTTAATGGTTATTTTTTTTCATTATTATTTACCTTAAAACAATATATATATAAAGTCCCTTAGGTAAATGATATTTTGTGAAATTCTATGTACAAAAAAGAAAATAGTTTCAACAATTACAAATGATAATGCTAAAGCTGCCCTTTAAGAATTGAGACGTAAAATGTCACCACACTTATTACCCTTATATAAATTAGCAGGGAAACATATCCCAATTAACTACAATTCTGAATTATGGCCAAAAACCTGTTTTAACCTTTGCACCAGCCATTTCTAATCAAGTCGTTTAACGTGGACATAGAGCCAGACTTAATGAAATGGCCTCTGGGATATATATTCTGGACATGTGGAAGGTCGCAGTCACCCTGATGTTAAGCCTAACTTCACACGAGTTGAGCTGGAGTCATTGGCAGTAGCAAGTGATGACCTGATAATCCAAGCTCTTTCCACAAAGCTTTTCATGTCCAAGTTTTTTCTTATGCAGTGGGATTTCGTTTCATCAGTCATTCACAGTCCAATATTATTTTATTGTTTTGCTTTAATTGCCTTGTTTTTCCTTTGGGAATCCAAAAAAGCATTATTATTGTTTTACATTTTTGTAAGTTAATGTTTTTAATTATTTTCTTATGTCAGTCTTTTGTCACACCTGCATGTATTTAGTAGCCTGGCTAACGCCAGACGAAATATCACAAGTGATATTTAGTTCAAAAGGATTTGAGCGCACACTGCAGTCTGGCGTAAAACTGGCGTAAAACTAGTGAATTTCACCTAGATATTTTCAGAAATGAAAGACAAGATGTTATATAATAATTATTTAATGAAAACACAATTTAGCCGAAAAAATGACACTCGACCTGTTTTCACTATTTACTCGGAACGTGCCAGCGCGACATCCGATGGGTTTTCCCAGATATATATATATATATATATATATATATATATATATGTCAAATGTCCTGCTGGAATGTCCGCTTGTTGAAAGCACCAATATATGTGCAGAAACTTATGTCTAAAATATTACCAATACTATGAATAATTTCTCTGTAAAAACATTGGACTTATTTGACTGTGTGTAGACTGCTGTCAGACCCAAAACAAGTGCAGAAGTATCACAGTGGCCTCTGTCAGCAGGGACACCTCCATATTATTCAGCAGTGGATCCTCTCCCTGTTCTGGTCAAAGTTGTGTCTCTCTACAGTTATATTTTGTCTGCCTCTCTGGGGAAGCACAAGTAGCTGCATTGATGTGTGTGATCAAAAATATGCTCGCCAGCACAACAGCTTCTTCCTGCAATATCTCTCTATCCAGGGGTGCACTCAATATTGCAAACATTATGCAAGTCAACCACTGACAAGTTCACTAGGCCGAAAACAAGGGAGTGTTCTTCCTGTTGAATCAAGGTTGCTGTTGGAGAAGTCATCCAGGGGGGCATGCAACTTTATCTATTTCTCAGTGTAACTTCAAACATAGTTACCTCAATCATCGTTGAAGCAGTGGGTTGGTTCTGTGCTTTAATCTGCTAAATACATAGCCTGGCTAACGCCAGACTGCTGTGTGCGCTCGAATCCTTTCGAACTTCACAACAGCCTGGGGACCATGGCCGAAATTTGTCCATGGGTTTGGGCACCAATCACAGAACGAGGAGGGACGGCAAGACGATGACGCGCTATTTGGCAGACGGAAGCTTGTAGTTCTTTTTACGAATCCAACATGGCAGCAGCAGACGTGAAGCTATCTTTTGATCAAGCTGTAGACCGTGTTCTAAGTAGTTTACCTCGAACGTTTATTTTAAAAGATGAACAGCGTTTGGCTTTACAATCTTTTATCAACACCAAGCAAGATGTTTTAGCCTTGCTTCCTACAGGGTTTGGCAAAAGCCTAATCTACCAACTAGCCCCGTTAGTGGCAAAGCTAATGGGGTTTAGCAAAAACCCGGTTGTTGCGGTGGTTTCTCCATTGATCGCCTTGATGGAGGACCAGATAAAGGAGGCAGCTGAGCTCGGGATTTCTGCGACACAGCTTGGTCCCGTGGAGGAAAATGAAATCAAGAGTTGCCGGTACCAGGTTCTGTTAGGCAGTCCGGAGGCCTGGCTAAGCACCAAGTGGGAGAACTTGCTATCCACCGACATATACAGGACCAACCTGATAGGCATCGTTGTGGACGAAGTCCATCTTACATATAAATGGTAAGTGGTATTTGTTAATATTATTGTCATGCCTGTAGCTACTAGCCTGGCCAGACTGCAGTTCATCCAGAGTGATCATGGGCCTCTTGGCTGCATCTCTGATCAGTCTTCTTCTTGTTTGAGATGAAAGTTTGGAGGGACGGCCGGGTCTTGGTAGATTTGCAGTGGTCTGATACTCCTTCCATTTCAATATAATTGCTTGCACAGTGCTCCTTCAGATGTTTAAAGCTTGGGAAATCTTTTTGTATCCAAATCCGGCTTTAAACTTCTCCACAACAGTATCTCGGACCTGCCTGGTGTGTTCCTTTGTCTTCATGGTTCTCTCTGCGCTTTAAACAGAACCCTGAGACTATCAAAGAGCAGGTGCATTTATACGGAGACTTGATTACACACAGGTGCATTCTATTTATCATCATCAGTCATTTAGGACAACATTGGATCATTCAAAGATCCTCACTGAACTTCTGGACTGAGTTTGCTGCACTGAAAGTAAAGGGGCCGAATAATATTGCACGCCCCACTTTTCAGTTTTTTATTTGTTAAAAAAGTTTAAATTATCCAACAAATTTCATTCCACTTCACGATTGTGTCCCACTTGTTGTTGATTCATGACAAAAAAATTTAAATTTTATATCTTTATGTTTGAAGCCTGAAATGTGGCAAAATGTTGAAAGGTTCAAGGGGGCCGAATACTTTCGCAAGGCACTGTATATACTTTACTTTGTATATAACCTTTCAACATTTCGCCCCATTTCATGTTGTCAAGAATCAACAACAAGTGGGACACAATCGTGAAGTGGAACGACATTTATTGGATAATTAAAACTTTTTTAACAAATAAAAAACTGAAAAGTGGGTCGTGCAATATTATTCGGCCCCCTTGCGCTAATGCTTTGTAGCGCCCCCTTTTGCTGCAATTACAGCTGCAAGTCACTTGGGGTATGTCTCCATCAGTTTTGCACATCGAGAGACTGGAATTCTTGCCCATTCTTCCTTGCAAAACAGCTCGAGCTCAGTGAGGAATGGAGAGCGTTTGTGAACAGCAGTCTTCAGCTCTTTCCACAGATTCTCGGTTGGATTCAGGTCTGGACTTTGACTTGGCCATTCTAACACCTGGATACGTCTATTTGTGAACCATTCCATTGTAGATTTGGCTTTATGTTTTGGATCATTGTCCTGTTGGAAGATAAATCTCCGTCCCAGTCTCAGGTCTTTTGCAGACTCCAACAGGTTTTCTTCCAGAATGGTCCTGTATTTGGCTCCATCCATCTTCCTATCAATTTTAGCCATCTTCCCTGTCCCTGCTGAAGAAAAGCAGGCCCAAACCATGATGCTGCCACCACCATGTTTGACAGTGGGGATGGTGTGTTCAGGGTGATGAGCTGTGTTGCTTTTACGCCAAACATATTGTTTTGCATTGTGGCCAAAAAGTTCGATTTTGGTTTCATCTGACCAGAGCACCTTCTTCCACATGTTTGGTGTGTCTCCCAGGTGGCTTGTGGCAAACTTTAAACAAGACTTTTTATGGATATCTTTGAGAAATGACTCTTCCATAAAGGCCAGATTTGTAAATTGCACGACTGATTGTAGTTATCTGCAGTTCATCCAGAGTGATCATGGGCCTCTTGGCTGCATCTCTGATCAGTCTTCTCCTTGTTTGATATGAAAGTTTGGAGGGACGGCCGGGTCTTGGTAGATTTGCAGTGGTCTGATACTCCTTCCATTTCAATATAATTGCTTGCACAGTGCTCCTTCAGATGTTTAAAGCTTGGGAAATCTTTTTGTATCCAAATCCGGCTTTAAACTTCTCCACAACAGTATCTCGGACCTGCCTGGTGTGTTCCTTTGTCTTCATGGTTCTCTCTGCGCTTTAAACAGAACCCTGAGACTATCAAAGAGCAGGTGCATTTATACGGAGACTTGATTACACACAGGTGCATTCTATTTATCATCATCAGTCATTTAGGACAACATTGGATCATTCAAAGATCCTCACTGGACTTCTGGACTGAGTTTGCTGCACTGAAAGTAAAGGGGCCGAATAATATTGCACGCCCCACTTTTCAGTTTTTTATTTGTTAAAAAAGTTTAAATTATCCAATAAATTTCGTTCCACTTCACGATTGTGTCTCACTTGTTGTTGATTCATGACAAAAAATAAAAATTTTATATCTTTATGTCTGAAGCCTGAAATGTGACGAAATGTTGAAAGGTTCAAGGGGGCCGAATACTTTCGCAAGGTACTGTATATATATCTATATATATATATATATATAATGTCATAAACACCAGAAACAAACTGTGCCTTTCAAACCCTTCATCCTTTTACCAGCAGCTCTTTTGTTGAATCTACACAATAAGCGGCTATGGTGAAAATGGGAAAAGCTGAGAGAGGAAACGGCCTTACCGTACGTCCACAGCGTCCTCCATCACTGTCATGTCGGTCTTACATTTGGCTGACGGGTTGATGGCGAGTTCAGCGGGAGGAATGACAAAGCTTTTACTCAGCGGAAGCCACATGCCCTCTCCCAACGTGTAGGTGAATCTGGAGACAAATATGAAAAAAAATTTTTTTTACTATAATTACAACAGGTTTCCAATCATTCAAGAATGAATTAAAAACTCTTTCTGAAAAACCATGTTATGTGAAATTGTATGTGAAACAGTGAAAAGGTGAAGCCTTGAAATGTCGTTTGACGACCTACTGCAATCACAGACAGAAATAAACCAAAGAAAAGATGTAAGAAAATTTAGGGAACACGACATATCATATTTGTTACTTATTTTTTACATAAAAACTGCAATAAAATAAAATTTCTTTCCAATGGATATTTTATGCACTCAGAGCAATAATGCAAAACGCCAAATTGTTGACGTATTGTTTATATTTGTATGTATTGAGTGCTCTTACTTATATGTGTGTTGCAAGATTGAGATTTTCCCACTGTGATTCTCTTATCGTATCTAATATTTTGCTTTCACTTCACAGTTGTCTGTTGCATTGTTGTGGTCTTTCAATAACTAATACATCTATTGTGGTTGTCCCAATATTTTTTGTGGTTCAAGCTATATTAAAGCAGCAGTAAGCGATTTGGTCGTTTCCGGCAGTTTCTTCTGCCTGAGCGAGTTAGTAGCCCCGCCCCCGTCTCCTCGTCACACCACATGAACGCGCATCGTCTTGGTGATGGCAGCAGCAGATTCATCTCCGTCAGGTCTACTCGTAAGTATATTAACAACAAACTCTGGGAGTGAAATATTAGCATAGAATAGCTCAGTTGTAACCTAGCTATAACACTGGAAGCAGCTTGGTGTTAGCTAGGATAGCATCACTAAGAAAGAGATAAAAACAATCCAGTCTTTTATAGAATAATACTGCTTTTATAGTTGGTACACTGATAACTGTTGTGATAAACATAATGTTGCAGATTGCAGTGTGACGTGTCTCAACATTATGCACTGTAACATCTGTTACAGTGCATATGTATTAGATGAATGTAATGCATATACATTACAACAACAAAGCTTTACATGAAGGTTATTTAAAGTAATACATTACTGCTTTCCTCACAATTTGTATATTTGGAGTTCTTTATAGACAACACTGTAGTAATGTATTATGTGAAAGTAAAGCTGCATCTCACTGGAAGCTGCCTTCTCAATGTCACAAAATAAAGATACATTTATTGATGTAATCAACATCTGTATTATGTGCTTATTGTTCAGAGAATGAAGACAAAATCAAAGTGTATCAGAGCTGTACAGTGAGATGTGGGACTGAAAAACAATTCCAGTAAAGCTTGTCCGAAACGCAAAAGTACTGTCATAACTAATTGCGTTACACTATTACACTGTAAGGAAACTCACCACTTTGAAAGAAAAGCTACAAGTAACAGAATATATAAAGTCATTTGTCATAACGGTTCTTTCAGGAAGCACTGAACGCCCTCTGTCCAGAGAAGCTGATGACCAGATCCTCCCAGACCTTTCCCTGATGCGTCTGTGAAAGGTGCCAACAGACATTGAAAACGTGCTTTCCTCAGCGGCCCCCATGGTGCACGTCCTCAGCGGCCCCCATGGTGCACGTCCTCAGTGGCCCCCATGGTGCACGTCCTCAGTGGCCCCATGGTGCACGTCCTCAGCGGCCCCCATGGTGCACGTCCACTCTGCAGTTCTGAAATATGTTTTGTAGTTGTACTATTTCAAAATAAAAAAAAATACATACACCTCTTTCAATGTGCTTTGTTTTATAGTAGGAAAACAAATACAGTCTGTAACGAGTCTAAGAAACTTTATTATGTAAAAGAAGATTTGAAGTTATAGCCGGAAAAATATACACAATGTCCCTACTAAGACAAATAATTACAAGTGATGGTAAGGCAACGTTTGTGTTATCACTTTTTGCTCAAATGAATAACACTGTTATTATTCAGGTCCTTATCCATCGCTGCTGCAGCGAACACTATCAGAGATATCTAACAAAATGTTAATCTTTATGTTGTAGTTTGTTTGAACACATTTCCTCAAAATAATTCATAAGCAGCCACGCACACACAGCCACACACAGTCACAAGCACACACAGCCACAAGCACACACAGCCACAAGCACAGTCACACACAGTCACAAGCACAGTCACACACAGTCACAAGCACACACAGTCACGCTTCAGGGGCCCAGGTTGAAGGAACTGGAGTCTTCCTCTGGCAGAGATTTTCCTTTGAAACATAATAGAAGAGACATCAGTTTTATCTACTCAAATATGACTTTGATATATTCATCATCAACAACATCAGTATTTATTGGTCACCAGGAGTGGCCCCTGATCCACAGGATCCTTGAACATGTTTATTTGGACTGTGAGAGACTGTGCATTGTGAGAGAAAGACACTTACATCGGCTGTTTTGGGAGTCGAGTGATTATCTCACTCCTCTTGATTGTTGAAGAAACTCAGCGACAGTTTTGTCAACACTGACTCCTGGAACATGATCGATATTCATTTTGGACCTCAGGGCAGCAACACAACTGTAGGGATGAACGACACACACATCACAACATCATTATCATAATCACTGCGTCCCATATATGCATTCACAACAACCTACATAACAAATGTGGGGTGTAAAGTCTTCCTCAGGAGATGACAATGGCCGATCTTCTAATTCTGGAAGCAAAGTCTTGTCTTCGCAGTCAATACTAGAGAAAGAAGAGGTCAGCAGAAAAGTATCTAGTCGTTATGGCATTGTTTTTTTTTTAATAGTTATTTAACTTGCATTATGGAGGCTTTTGAACTCTTGTACATTGAAGACCTCATTCCAATTGATTTAGGCCATACTGGAAAAGATACAGAGAAAAGAATGCAATGAAGACATGTAAATTATTACAATGTCTATATTATATCATGCTCATAATTTATTTGGTAGTAGTCAGCAAGACTCTGACTTATTCTCAATACATAATAATAAAAATGTATGTAGTGGTCACGGAAGTTAGATTTGAGGTAAAGAGATATTGTTTTTATAACAATAAAACTAATATACAGAGTGCAAGTTGAAAAACTTAGTCATTGAAGAATGAAATGCAGACCTACATATATATATATATAGTGCAAGCAACTATGTTTATTGGCAAAAACAAACGATTCATACAGATCAGAAGTGTTCGTAGCAGCCACATCATATTCACAACTACAGACAGCTAATGCTAACAGCTAACGCTAATGCTAACAGCGAACGCTAATGCTAACAGCGAACGCTAATGCTAACAGCGAACGCTAATGCTAACAGCTAACGCTAATGCTAACAGCGAACGCTAATGCTAACAGCGAACGCTAATGCTAACAGCGAACGCTAATGCTAACAGCGAACGCTAATGCTAACAGCGAACGCTAATGCTAACAGCGAACGCTAATGCTAACACCACTTCATGGGGGAACTCTGGTGATATGGTCATTTAATGTTGTACATGTGGGGAACTAATAATTGACCGGAGTTTATGGATGGCTGAGGCTGGGCTAAGGCTTCGATGTTGTGTGTTGTCTGTTGTTGTTTCTCAAAGCTAAGCCAAGGTAATGCGCAGTTATTGCCACAAAATGCGGCCGTATTTCTACAACAGCTGGGGATTTTTAACTAGCTAACTTGGTGAAAGCCCGCATTACAGTCTCAGGCAACAATATGTATAAATAATACAACTACTACTGCCACTACTGAGTAACATGCTCACCTGTTCAGTCGGAGAGAGGAATCCACGGAGCTAGAGGTCGCCAACATGAATGCAGCTGGTCACCATGTTGCTCCTACTTTTTGTCGTTCCTCTGTTTCTGGCGTTTTGCCTGTATTTAATAGATCCATGTATTTAGTCTGCAGCAGCGCTGGAGGCGGCTTTTCCTTCTCCGCCATGTTTGTTTTGAAGAGTGCGCGTGCACACACGGGAGAAACCCCTTATAAGGCGTGCTCTCTCGTCATTGGATAAGCGCATAGGATGTGAGGTTTTTTTATTAAATATGTGGGAGAAGACTGGAAGGACTGAGAGATCCGTGTTTAGGTACAAACACTCTATATAAGTGATGGCTATTGGAATATATCAATATTTAAGACGTATATTAACACCCAAAAATCGCTTACTGCTGCTTTAACACATTCACAATGTACCTAGACCTGAATGCAACATATACTAAAGGTGAAAACGTCTAAGTGAAAACAAAAAAATGTAGTTGCTGGGTTGAAATCATTGACTGTAAATATTACCGCTTCTGCCATACTAAAGTATTGGGTGATTCTCTTTCCGGGTACACTCCCACCAGCTAGGAGTCAGATTTTAAGCATGTTCACGTGCTCATGGACCTTTTCCAGCAGGGACATGCCCGCACTAGCTGAAACAAACAGCACACGTGTAGGCCTAAGCACATTTCAGTTGGCAGTGGAGACAGTTCTTGCTGATTTTCAGGCTCTGTTTCCAACAAGGCCATCCATCCATTTTCTACAACTTAATCCATTTCTGGGTTGGGGGGGTGGCAATAGATGCCACCCAGTCCACATAACACCAGCCCCTCACTGATCCTCCTGCAAGTGGTGAGTCAGGAGGATGGCCGCTCTATGGCTTAGCCTTGATCTTTCAGTGGGTCCTTCAGGCAAAGTGGGGTTAAGTGTCTTGCCCAAGGACACAACGACAGCAGTCATCAGTGGGAGTCGGTGGAGAAGGTCTCATGGTGGGCTCAAACCCACAACCTTTAGGCTCAAAGGCCAATGCTCTACCAACTGAGCTACTATCGCCCATGCAACAGCCTTATTTTCATCCAACAAGGCTGTTGCATGAAATACAAAGTTGCAAAATGAAACTTATGTTGTAATGCAACGCAGACCAGACAGAGAACAGAAGCTCAGCTCCTGGACAGAATAGAAAGCCAGACCTCTGACAGCAGCAGGGTTACAATGAGCCCTGGTATCAAAGAGCTCCCCAAGATGTTAACTCTGGACTGCTACAATTTCTTTTCTAAACCTGGACACTTCAGGTCAGTATAGAGACATCTCTCTTTTCTGTTTGTTCCCTGAGTGTTATTCATAAAATCATACTATATAAATATTTAGCCCAAAAATGTATCAGGTTCTCTTTCTCACGTTAAAGCTGGAGTACCCAAATTCAAAATCATAAAAATGTGATAAAATCGTAGTTCCTATCACTCAAAACTGTTTGGCTCTATCACAAGTTTTCACATGCATGTATTTTTACCTTTTTCTGTGAAAGAGAGCACTAGTCCTCACTCAGCCAATCCACTGTCAGCACAAGATCAAGTGTTTTCTAGATACAGATAAAACGATTTGGTCTGATTTGTTCACATACAGACGTTTTGTGCTTGGACAAAAACAAACATTTATGAAACTAGAACTTCAGCTTCAATAGAAAGACATGGCCTTGTTTAGCCACACAAAATCTCCTCTTCATTTGGTAATAGTGGCTATTTGTCTCTATGGGAAAACAAGGGCACAGACCTCTTAGCTAATTAATAATAACAGCGACAATAATTGTTCTGACCGACTGCTTGACTACACTCCACTCCAGACCTTAGTGCTGCTAAACATCAATAATCTTTTTCAGCAAATGCATGAATATTAATATAACTTTTTCATGTTTCCGAATACGTCTTCTGACATTGAATAGTATAGTGCACATGTTTTTGGAGATGAAGCCCTCTTCTGATTCCAGTACCACTTTGATGTATGTGTACCTTTTACCTGACACTTCATCAAGGTCTCGTCCCCCATTGTGTCAAACCAACGCGGCCAATTTCTCAAAGAGGAATGTTTTTAGCGCTTGAATGATTCTGAATAATGGCGTCAACGTGGCTGGAGGTTATTTATTTTACCTTTCAGCAATGTTATTCTTTTTGCATAACTCTTTTCTGTGAGCAGAAGGACACAGTGTGCTAATGGACGCAATGCATACCAAATGAGACGTGGTGATAGGAAAGGGGCCAATCCCATATCCTCCCCGGAGAGAGGCAGCAGTAATAAATCTGTAAACAGCAGATGTCTCGAACAAGAGCTTTAAAACTATTCTTTAGATTGCACAGTCTGATATCATTTTTAAACACAATATAGATAAACTGCGTATGCTACACGTACCGGACTTCATGAATATTCACAAAGAATGGTCATTAGTGCTTGGATATTATGTATTTATGCATGCTTGTAGCATTAAATTAATAGGGTAAACTTGTTGATCAAGCTTTTTCTCATATTGCCATACTACAGTGCAAATGACTTGGAATAAAATGCTTGGTTAGCAAGTGTTTACCAGTATGAAAATGTGAAAAAACTAGTCACATTTCAACAACATAATCTCTTTAATACATGTTGTCAGCCGCTGGTTCAAAACTACAGGTTATCTGGACATCAGCACAAACAGACAGGTTACAGACTGCACCAGTCTGGGTCAGCTAGATGTAGCAGCAGAGTGACAAAGAATGGACAAAGAGCTCTGGTCTTATAGCATGATAATTTGAAACACATGCAACAATATGTCCCACCTTCCTCTCCCTCAGAGAAGACCTGGCTTCCCTCTAAATAAACATGAGATCTACTGAAAACAGAGGTTTTCGGCTTCCTGCTTATTTAGACTAGTCTTTCACTCATGACTGGGGGATGGGAGAATGCTGCTGATGCGTCCATCACATCCCATCACGCACGTAGGTTAACCCAAAGCTGTCTAAAGTTGAATATATTCTAATTCACTTTAATGAAAATCCATCAACTCTACTATCAGAAAATGAATTCTGATCTAAAGGCAGGGTCTGGTTCGTACTGTGATGGGAGACCTCTGGAAACACCGAATGTCACAGTCAGGCAGTTGTGGCTTTAAAGTGCTAAAATGAAGTATGAGTCTGGTGTGTGCATGAATGATTGGTGGTTTTCAGAGGTGCACGCACTGGTTGTCCCACTTATATTAGTCTGGCCCCCTATAGCTGTGGCTAGAGTAGCTTATCACCACCAAAAACAGTGTGTTTGAAATCTCCACAATCCGAACCTGGTTTCAAAAATTTGCATTTCCGACTCCCAAAATGCTGGCTTTGTTTGGCTGATACTCTGGATGGATAAAGTATTTTTTGCATTTTGGCCTGAATTAGACTTTGTGTGGACAGAGCCTAAAAATGGGTCAGACCATGGATTTTTTTGGTCAAACACATGGTACAAATCACGCCCACTATTTAGTCGACCAATCGATCGACCAGGGATGTCTGTGGTCAACCAAGCATTTCTTCAACAACAGCACTATATTCCTTCATGTACAAATACAAGCACAATCCATATCTTACAGTCTCCATCTCATAACTCATCTCCTTCTAATGAGCCAATGCACTAAATTGTTGATACTCCCTGAGATGCAGCGTGACGTCTTTGGTCGAGAGTCGGACAAATTAGCAGTCACTTAACGAGCCCTGCGATATAATGGACAACAGGGGACTAGAGTGTTAGTGTATGACTTATGTGGTGCAAGCGCAAAGAGAAAGTGGAGGTGGAAAACTGTAAAAGATCCCTGGAGACGGCAGTTGTTGGGAGGAAAAACATGTTGGCGGTCCTCAGAGATGCTGCACTACAGTCTCAGCACGGTCTGAGAGCTGACTCCCTGCATTTATCTCCATACGCCCAAGAGGATCTCGTATACATTCTCCCGGTCGGTTCATTATAATCTCCCTGTGATTCTAATTGCCTCGTTTGCTATTATTTAATGGGAATATCTGTTAAAGTAAACAACAAGACATGTGTGTAAGCATCAAAGCACGGCGTTCGAGCTACATCTCAAATGTATTCTGTGATTGGATAGTGAGGGTTATGTCTAATATCTAATTGCAATATATCCGAACAACATTGCGATTGTGTTGCGGTTTTTGAAGTTAAATTTCAAAACCTGATACCTCATCTTATCTTGTCTCACAAAATTCTTATAGTCAAACCTGAGTTGAGCCACATATATTAAGATAAGATATTCTTTTATTCGTTTCACAGTGGAGAAATTTCAGCGTCGTTGCGCACATTACAGCAGAAAAAGAAGGAAATAAGAGCTCTCAGATTGCACACATCAGCTAGTCTATTATTTAAGATAATAGAAAATATAATTAAAATAAGGAAAATGAAATAAAATAAAAATAAAAATATATCAATCATCAATGCAATGTCTCATTTGAAATTCGAAAATAATTATTATACCCAACAATATAAATATACACAACATACACTTGTTCGATTAACAAATTGAAGTGATGTGTTTCCTATCTTTAATTAAAATGAATTATTAATTTTAAAAGGCGCTATAATATATATTGAGTCCTTGGGATTTGCTAATTGCAACCGCAAAATTCCGATTGTGGATTTGATTGCGATGAACAGTTCAGCCCTACCTCACAATATTCACACTCAAATCTGGTCTGGTCTGAAACAATCTTAGATGATACTTTCGTACTGGGGTCAAGCCAAATTGGAAAAAGCTGCCTGTGATGTTGTACCGTGTTTTCCGCTATTGGGAATTAGTAAGGATTAGGAAGAGCAATAGGTGAACTTCGAATGCATAGAGTAAAGAAATATAGCAAATTCCGTGATTATCCATTTTATGACAGAAACTCCGAACAGACCCATTCAACTCTAACTAACGTGAGACCACAAATTTGAATGCTCTAATTTTAAGTAATATAATAATGAGTTGCAATAATAAGTGATTTTTGCAACTCAGTCAAACCTGAATTTGGGGATCGAGAAAGAAGGTGGCAGTGTATGGAAGACTTTTCTTTTTGCCTTTAAAATTCTCAATATGCTTTTTTTTGAGCCCTCAAATTCAATGCACCGTGAAATTTGATGAAAAAAAAAAAGACGAATCCTTTGCTCCATCAGATTTTGAGTTTCAAATGTACCTGAATTCCTCTATTTGAATGAAATTTGACAACAATTCAGATAGAAATATTTTCATAGTTAAAAAATGAAAATGGAAAAATTGAAGCCCATTCAAAATTCTAAATGTGATGACACAATAATCTTCCACAGCAGTGACTTGTTTGTTATTGACATCCTGACTCAGTAGATCCAAATTTAAATACTGCTTTTTGTGCAACCATAATATTTTATGTCAAGGTCATAACATTATAAAAAAACGTTTTTTTTTTTTCCTGTTCCAGGCCCATAGTATTACGTTTCTCAGTCAAACATTTGCATTGGTGGGTGGCTCAGTACTGCTCAGGACTGCTCAGAAGGAGAAAAGTTGTGATGCTAACATATATTCTCATGAATCTAGAGTGTCAGCAGGTTCCTGGAGTGAACTCTCTGCATGCTGTCTTGGTCTCAAACAATTGTTGCATCTTTGCTTTGAGAAACTACTTTGATACTTTAGACTTTGAGAAAGAATACCAGCAAGATAAAAGTAATTTAAGCTAGAGCTATTCTACGTATCCCTTTTTTGATGATGCGTTGTGTAACTTTTGAAACAGTGGAGATGTGATTTTTGAGACCAAAAGTGAAAATACTTTTGGAAATCTTGGTATTTTGACCCACAGAACACCAAGCCTAGCCTAACTTGAACAGTTTCTATACTGATCAATCTTGAACACAACTTAAATTAAAACATGGGGAAATAACTTCCCTATGGGGATGAAACAGCAATATTTTAGAGTCTCCAGAAGTGTGAGTACTATGTGATTTTTCCAACTCTACTTTATGGCAAACACAAAGTTATGTGCTGAACAACAAATCCTTGGGCAGTGGTTAGTGATTTGGAGGAGATGAAACCCGACAAGCAAACAACAGCTACAGAAAATAGTGAACGATGGACACACATTGGACCCTGGCAATGTTTTGGTCGAAAATACTATTTCTACAACCCAAAAAGGGACATAAAAGGTACGTAATAATATCACCATCAGACTGTATTAGCCTATTAAAAATATTTCTGAATACAAACATGCTTTTTGATATCAACGACTACAACACAAAGTTTAATATGTCTCTTACCTGAAAATGCGATCAGAGGGCTGTTCTCCCATCACTAGATCAAAACCTCTCTGGAAGATGGTGTAAGGCCAAGGACTGCATGAAAAAAAAGTACAGATCAGAAGACGAGCGGAGAAAAATAAAACTGTGTGTTCAATCAAAGCATGGGGAAGTGTTAAATCTTTCAGTGGTGCCAGCCTCCTAATCTGAAACTCCAGAATTACAAGGCCTTTTTTCCCCTTTCCCTCTGCAAATTTGCACCTCCTGCAACCCAAGTCACAAGATAGGACGCGAGATGTTAGAGATGGTCTTTGCAAGTAGCTTTCGTCAGGTAAATCATGAAGCTTTTTTTTAAGATAAGATAGACTTTATTGATCTCACACAGGAGAAATGTATGCATGCCGTCTTGATTTTATTCTGCTTTAAAAGCAATTTACTAGTTTGGTACTTCTTGTTACTCACATGGCAATAAAGGGATTCTGATTCTGATTCTGGTATTGTTATATTTTGTTTGCATTTTGACTTGTAGGTTCTTTGACCAAGGCTATAATGACTCAGACTGCTGTCCCTTGGGAGAACAATGGTATTGACTTCTGATAGTATCCATCCATCCATTTTCTACCCCTTAATCCATTTCTGGGTCGAGGGGTTGGCAGTCAGAGATGCCACCCAAGTCACAGAGCACCAGCCCCTCACTGATCCTCTGCAGTCCACAGGAGGATGGCTGCTCTGTCAATGTGAGCATAGCCATGATCTCTCAGTGGGGGCTTTGGGCAAAGTGGGGTTAAGTGTCTTGCCCAAGGACACAACGACAGCAGACATCAGTGGGAGTCGGTGGAGAAGGTGTCAAGGTGGGTTCTGATAGTAATTTAATTAAAATTTTGTATTGCGGTAACTCGCATGGAATCATGATTTGAGGTTTGGGCTAATAAAAAGAAAATCAAACAAATTTAAACAACCAATTAAATGTATTCTCAATTTGTTTAGTAATAGTTAAATAATTACAATGACAATCCTTACCTCTGGCCTATTTTTGGTTTGGTCCAAACAAAACTGAGGCAAAATCACCAGAAAAGAATATCCAAACTCATGTAATCCTCCATGATGTAAAACATACATATTATTTAGATTCTGACATAGACATGAATGTAATCTTAAAATAAAACTGCAAAAGAAAAACCTATTTTGGTCGTCTGAAACTTTGATTTGCACCTCATCAAAAGGCGTGTGTTACATTTCTCTCCGAAATGAACCCAGAAATTGTGGTTGGCACATCTTATAGTGGTCAAAATGAACAAACAAACAATGTGTATGCAGTATTAACTTCACAGAAAACATTCTATAGTTTCCTTTAGTGAAATTGTTCTTTAATTGTAAAAAAAATGTGCATGTATTTTCTATTTTCAAAGAAACATTGAAATCGAATGAGTAGGCGTAAACCAGAGGACGCATGGTGTGAGAGAGCAGAAGATGAAGACGAATGTGGGATGGCAGCGCTGGGACTGCAGAGAGAGAGTGACAGAGGGACAGGAGAAAGGACAGAGCCGATCTGAGCCAAGTCCTCTACAAAGTGGAACATCCAGAGAGATGCCATGGGCGCTGGTCATTAAACATTTAAGTCACCCCAGGACACCCCTCTGTCACACTCTCACTCTCACCAGGGGAAATCACGCACACAAGGCTAGCGCAGGGTGGCGTAAGAGGAGAAAAGACAATCTGAAGGTAAAAAAAGTATATATTATTCCGAACGTGCAGTAAGTCTACCAAGGGATTTTAAAAAGTCAGATTCTTTGGGAGTCATTCTGTAGTGTGTCATTCTGTCTGAAGCAAAGGCTCAAACATTTGTGTCTCTTACATTATGTGCTGGGTTGGATTTTCAAGATGTTTGGGGCTTTTTTTTTCTTTGAAAATGCTGTGTCTATGAACAATAATAATACTAATAATAATAATATGATTTGTAGAACGTTGGTCAGTGGGGATTCCAACGCAAACTACAGTTGATTTAATGTATATTGTTTTACTGATCCAAGTACTCTACGACCGAATCTAGCAGAAAAACAGAAAAGCCTATTTTCACCAATAGGTATATTTTATTTGTCACACCGTGAGGTCAAGCAAGAGTTGGCAGCAGCGGCGAAGGGGTTAGCCAAATGTCAAGGACTTTTCAACAGGCAGGTGTGAACCCAATTAAGCTGTTATGAGGCGCTACAGGGAACACGCTCAGAAAAAAACGAATTTTTCGAGCCATTATAATTCTTGTCATGAATTGTAATAATTAGAGTAAAATGTTATGGCGGCAATAACAATTTAATGAGTTTTATTGCAACATATGTTTCAGCTCCAGTTAATCAGGATCTGCAGATAATGTCATGAAGTTACCAGCACAAATAATCATTACTTTTAAGCCTTTTCCATTGAACCCATGTCTCTACTTGTTCGTACAATTGATTGTTTGATGAAACTTTTTGCAGCACAAATGTATGAAGTAGCCATACATTCCACGCTATGTCCCTATTTACGCATGGCTCGTGTTGCACTTCTTCTACAAACTGACAAAGAATGCTAAACTTTCTTTCATTGTTGTCTACCAAAGAATAATTATTATAAAAAAAACTATTAAAAATATTAAATGCATGTATTTGTTATATTAGGGGACGATGTGATGTTATATTACACATGAATAAACATGACTAAAAAAGGCAGAATTAGTAAAGAATCAATTTTTCATCTTTTCTCTCTTGAATAACATGTACAATAACATATAATACAGTGAGGGCGACTTACCCCTGGTTGGGTCCCCACTCGCTGCGTATGCAGAGGTGCTTGTGCACTGGGTCCCTCATGTAGCCGTCCAGACAGAGGCATTCTCCTGCACACACACAACCATCATTCATTACTGTCAAGCCTTTTTAATTCAATACACCAGTCCCACAGCTCCTCTTCATTCTGCGACCTCAATAAGAGCCAGTGCAAACACCAGCACTTACAGCCTAATCAGCGCTCATTGATGTGCTGGTTTACAGTTAATAGGATGTTTAAAATGAATTATATATGGTCTCCAAAAGCACTTCTGACAACAAGGGAAATATCAGGCAGGGAAATTACAGGCAGAAGCAAACTAATATACAGTGTCTTGTACTAGCTAAGCAACAAATCCTGCACAAAAGCATCTATCAAGAAAATATAAAATGAAATCTATATCATCTGCCACCTACTTGCCTCCATAAAAGGTGTTATTGCTTTGCATTAATTTATGTCAAAGAAGAAAGCAGATGGCCCCTTATATAAAAACCAGATTAGTGATGACAGTATTGCATGTTTATAACCAGAGCTTAAGGACTAAGCAGGCCGCAGTGGCGATCGGCAATTTTTTAGAATGATCTGAGGCAATCAGTGTCTATGTGTGGTTCTTTAAAGTAATGAAAGACATAAGAATTGTATAAAATGAGCATTGAGCTGTGGCAGAAGCCTTTAGCAAACCCTAAAGGAGTCCTGCTAAATTTGTGTGCCTCGAAAAAACAGGCAGATCAGAGTATTTTAACTTTGCAAACTTCCAATGCATAAGACGCTCGTGTGTCTCAGCAAAAAGATCCTCTGTTGGGCCTTATGACGGATAATTCAACTGTGTTTATATTGTTGATGTTATTGATCTAAAATAAACTGAATAATTGTAATGTTCCACTATGATGAATACAATTACATGAGGTGCACTACACAATGAGAAAACCCAAAGTTCTCTTTGTAGTTGCAATGTCATTGTCAGAGTGAGCCAAGGACAATGGTCTGAACGTATGTGTGTTTTAATGTTTTGAGTATTATCACTGTCTGCTTGTTTTCAGCAGATTACATCCCCTACATGAATAGAATGTGATTAGACCAGTCTTTAAGATAATTAATAGACATACCTGTACAATCTGCAATGATTTAGAATAATAACAGTCCATCATTATTGCTGCAGCCTAAAGCAACTGTTTGTAGGCAGAGCTCACTCCCACAGGAATATCCAATATACTGTAATTACACACTAATATATGTGCCACTTTCCCTTGTGATTGGACTTTTAACACCTTAAATGGCGATTCAGACACTTGATAATTTGTGGTTGTGGAACTTGGCAAGTCAGCACTCAGGGAGCAGAAATAGCTTGATGTTTTGTTGTTACAGTAGGAAATAATTGTAGACCTTGATCAAAGTCAATCAAATCTGTGTTGCAAAAACTTGTGATCAAAAGCAACAGATTTAACCCCTGAACTAAAAGAATCACAATTCTAAATCTTGACTGTCTTTATAGATTTACAGCACCCGTGGGTTCATGGTAAACACCTAGACTTTCTTTCTTGTTGACATCCGCTCAATAAGTGAAGTCGGTTAGCTAAAAACAAGCATCAGCTCTTTGTTGTGGTGCCGTCAGCTCCCGGGAGTACTGGCGGCCTTGACTTAGTGCAGTTTGATTGATGGGGTTGTACCTTTGGTTTGGAGGGTCACTCAGGGGTAACGTGTACTACATGCTCCACTCATACTCAGCGGGGGGTGAAGGGGGGCGGGCGAGCAAGTGAAGGCCGGCCGTACGTACTACAGTTAATGTAGAAGGTCATCGGTCTCGACCTGACAGGCTAAAGGGAATCAGTCATCCTCCAGCTAATGGATGTGACGGCACAGATAGAATGTTCTAAAAGAATTAAAGAGCATCAGTCTGAAATGCATCTATTAGTTCAAAATAAACAGTACACTTTGATGTTTGCAGGGAATGGTTATGGAAAATGTATCTGGATGATGTATCAGGATGATATTTCGCAGTGCAGTGCATTGTGGGTGGCAAACCCGAGGGTCTGGAGGCACAAGTTTTCTCAGTATATGACTGAAATATGTCCTTGTTTTTGTCACTAGCGCTGATGTACAATAAAACATTTAATATTCACATTGTCACAACCTGTTATTGCAGCCTTTACATTTCTCTGATATTATTGGTGGAATCAATGTGAAATACAAAGTGTAGGGGGTCCAACCCCTGGAGCTTGCAGTGCTTGTATAGTGTGACTTTACTGGACGACACCTGAAGATTGTGGCTCTTTCTCCACTTTTTGGGAAACCATGTAACAGACTTTGACAATGTATCTGGTGAAATTATCCATCCATCCATTTTCTTCCCCTTAATCCATGTCTGGATTAAGGGGGGATGGAAGTCAGGGACGGCCAATTGACATAGCCCAAGCCCCTCACTGATCCTCCTGCAGGTGGTGAGTCCACAGGAGCCTTGATCTTTCAGCGGGGGCTTCAGGAGAAGTGGGGTTAAGTGTCTTGCCCAAGGACACAAGAACATCAGTAAGAGTTGTGAATTTGGTCTTGTGGTGGGCTCAAACTCACAACCTTCAAGCTCAAAGGCCAATGGCCAAAGGCCTGGTGTTGTAGTTAGTTGTGGGTGACGTCAAGAATTTTGGTCAAAATGACAGGTTGTAGTTTGGCAATGGCGAAGAATACTATAGTAAAGTAATTTGTTCCAGTTCTATCAAGAAATTGAAGCCGGAGCAAGAGGAATGTATAGTGAATGTAATTGCTGGCAAAGATTATGGTGCTACTCCCCACGGGCTCTGTTAGTGGCAAAGGAGATGCGTCACAGTAAACTCCAATCTGCAAAAGGATTTAACCCCTCCCACTTGTCCACAAAGCTCAATGGAGCAAATCCAGACCTTAGCACGAAATGTAATTTGTGGGAGTCTAAGCACTGGTTTGATCTTTAAATCGTCCAAAAAGAGTGAATATTAAGAGAGATACTTGTCAGCACGCGGTAAATACGTGTGCGATGAGCGGCGATGCGGTGCGTTTTAAAACAGCTGCAAGAATTATGCATTTCCATTACATTTACTTTAGAAAGCAGTGAGCTGCTGAGAACCAGTTCTGTGCCAGGACTCAACCAGGACTTAAAGAGCGACTAAACACCTGTGCCCAGCCTTACTCCGCCCACATGAACATTTTAAAATGTTCTCTGAAAAGGGCATTGCCTGGAGGACCAGGGGACAAGAAGGAGAATTAGAGTTTGGCGTGGTCTGGGCTGTGATTGACAGCTCGCTTGTCACATAGAAAAAAAACAGACAGTTGTCATTGCTGCTTAAAGCAATAGTTTACACACCAGAAAGTCTCATTCCACCCTTGTTTACACACTAAGATAATTGTAGAGCTACACACCTGAACCAAAGCCACTGAATTATATCGGCAATAGTGGCGGTCAACTGATGTAATTTAATATTAATCCACTAGATGCCGCCAGAATACTTCAACCTGCTACTGGGGCGTGTGTGAGACTTGGATGAGTTTATACCACTGGAGCAGAGAGACGCACATCACACACACCAACTGACGTCACACAGTACTCCAGAGCCAATGGAGAGGCCAGGCACAAAATTCAAATGTAGTGCCGCCACACAGACAATTTTAGGCTCAAAAGTGAGTTTTTATCTTATTTGCACTAAAATGTCAAAACAATGACCAGGACATGTAGAGAGCACTATAAGAAACATATTCATGCAGTTTATGAGTAAAAAAAAGTTGATTTGATGTTTAAGACACCGAGTCAGTCACTGAACCTAAACCAGGATTAAACAGTTTACCCCAAGTTTAACAACAATCAGCAATTTTCTTTTTATATTATATATTTTTTATTTTAAAGAGTAACTTAAAAGTAAGCCAGTAGTTGTTACAATTCAGAGAAAGTAATATTGTAGTATAAAATATTATTTTGAAATAACAGTCAAAAGTAATAAGTAATGTATTACTTTTTTGAAGTAACTTCAAAAAAGGAAGGTAAATAGTCTCTACGTTTAAGGACCCAAACATTGTCTTGGCTTGTACCTTTGCATTAAGCGAAAATATACACTTGGAGTCTTAACCTGTCATCGCATTCCTCTCCCAACACCCGCAGTGTGCTGTTGGAATTAGTCATGGAGTCTAAGCCCATGACTTGATCCTGTAGTTTGAAAAGAAACCAGTGACGCTTGTCCACCTGCCATGTGTGATGTTTTCCAAGCACAAAGGCAGGTTATTTTTCATACACACATCACTTGAATGATTTCTGAAAGCCACATCCGTGCATCCCTTCATAGCCGCCTCTCCAACACGCTCCTCTGCCACTCTGCCAGCCTTCACCGGCTGTGGCGCTCAGCATAATACCTATTTTGTCAAATGTGTCCTAAAAGAGCTGAAATGTTTGACATGGGACAAGTTTGCATGACGGCCTCAAATGTGCCTCGGAGAAAGATGGAGCAGCAGTCATTTGATGAGCCATTTAAGTGGAATACAAATGGGGAAGTTTGAATGGTGTTGTTGTGAATACTGGACACTAATGTCATGTAAGAATTAATGCAAGTCACAATAATTTAACATAACACTGTATGAGTAAGGTTTCAACAACTCAACAGGTGCTTAAATCATACAAAGCAGTTGTTTCTAAGTTTTATTTAGTTGTTCAATACACTTACAGTATGTCATGGTCAAACCACCCACACACTCATAATGTGTTAGAAAACATATTTAGTTCCTCCACTACACTCTGAATAAATGTGTTGAGTCATTAAGTGTCATTTTAAATCTCTTCAAAATAATTCATATTGATCATGTTGAGCAATTGTATTATGTCTATTTTATTCTGCAATACTAGTTCAAACTGTAATTTAACCGTGCTCAATGCTGTGTGTGGCCATGGCGACGTCTCAGAAGGAGTGGTGAGGTTTAAAAAGTAAAGTTTTCTCTGGCCATTACAGTGCCTTGCGAAAGTATTCGGCCCCCTTGAACCTTTCAACATTTCGCCATATTTCAGGCTTCAAACATAAAGATATAAAATTTTAATTTTTTGTCATGAATCAACAACAAGTGGGACACAATCGTGAAGTGGAATGAAATTTGTTGGATAATTTAAACTTTTTTAACAAATAAAAAACTGAAAAGTGGGGCGTGCAATATTATTCGGCCCCTTTACTTTCAGTGCAGGAAACTCACTCCAGAAGTTCAGTGAGGATCTTTGAATGATCCAATGTTGTCCTAAATGACTGATGATGATAAATAGAATGCACTTGTGTGTAATCAAGTCTCCGTATAAATGCACCTGCTCTTTGATAGTCTCAGGGTTCTGTTTAAAGCGCAGAGAGAACCATGAAGACAAAGGAACACACCAGGCAGGTCCGAGATACTGTTGTGGAGAAGTTTAAAGCCGGATTTGGATACAAAAAGATTTCCCAAGCTTTACACATCTCAAGGAGCACTGTGCAAGCAGTTATATTGAAATGGAAGGAGAATCAGACCACTGCAAATCTACCAAGACCCGGCCGTCCCTCCAAACTTTCATCTCAAACAAGGAGAAGACTGATCAGAGATGCAGCCAAGAGGCCAATGATCACTCTGGATGAACTGCAGATAACTACAGCTGAGGTGGGGATGGTGTGTTCAGGGTGATGAGCTGTGTTGCTTTTACGCCAAACATATCGTTTTGCATTGTGGCCAAAAAGTTTGATTTTGGTTTCATCTGACCTTCTTCCACATGTTTGGTGTGTCTCCCAGGTGGCTTGTGTCAAACTTTAAGACTTTTATTGGATATCTTTGAGAAATGGCCACTCTTCCATAAAGGCCAGATTTGTGCAGTGCACGACTGATTGTTGTCCCAAGGACAGACTCTCCCACCTCAGCTGTAGTTATCTCCAGTTCATCCAGAGCGATCATGGGCCTCTTGGCTGCATCTCTGATCAGTCGTCTCCTTGTTTGAGATGAAAGTTTGGAGGGACGGCCGGGTCTTGGTAGATTTGCAGTGGTCTGATACTCCTTCCATTTCAATATAATTGCTTGCACAGTGCTCTTTGAGATGTTTAAAGCTTGGGAAATCTTTTTTGTATCCAAATCCGGCTTTAAACTTCTCCACAACAGTATCTCGGACCTGCCTGGTGTGTTCCTTTGTCTTCATGGTTCTTTCTGCGCTTTAAACAGAACCCTGAGACTATCAAAGAGCAGGTGCATTTATACGGAGACTTGATTACACACAGGTGCATTCGATTTATCATCATCAGTCATTTAGGACAACATTGGATCATTCAAAAATCCTCACTGAACTTCTGGACTGAGTTTGCTGAAAGGAAAGGGGCCGAATAATATTGCAGGCCCCACTTTTCAGTTTTTTATTTTTTTTTAAAGTTTAAATTATCCAATAAATTTCGTTCCACTTCACGATTGTGTCCCACTTGTTGTTGATTCATGACACACATTTTAAATGTTATATCTTTATGTTTGAAGCCTGAAATGTGGCAAAATGTTGAAAGGTTCAAGGGGGCCGAATACTTTCGCAAGGCACTGTAGACATTGATAATAATAATACAGTTCATTAATTATCATGCATGAATAAATCATTAATTAAAGATTCCTTCATGAACTGAGCTGAACATGACTTTTGTCTAATTAGAATCTACTATATGTATGGAAAAGCTCAACCAGGGACAGGAGTTGAGAATCAGCATTTGTTATAAATCCGTAGGTGTAGCACATGTTGCATCTCTTACTGTAAATATCTATACATGCATTGCCGAACTTCATAATCATGATAATTCATTGATGAGTTTGTTTTTTGAATTTATGCAGTGTAAAGTGTTTCCTAATGTAATATAATAAAAAGTGAAAACAAACAAAGTTTGGAGGTATTGGCAATATTTACATAAAAGGAATACCAAAAAAAACATTCCTCACATTTATATTCCTCAGAACTTCACAAAGCAACACCATCAGTTAAACAAATGTGGAAGCAGCTTAGTGGCATTTGCACTTTGTCTACACTATTGCACCTTACAGCACAAATTGCATTGGACCTAAACTAACGTAATTTGCAACCTCCATTTTTTTTTTGGTTATTACAATCCTAAATGGGGTATTTATTATTTTTCACTGTGTCTTTCAGTTTTTAAATGTTTGCTTCCTGCAGAACAAATTTCCGCTAGTGGGACAATAAAGACAACTTCGAGCTTGAGAACTCCCAGCAACAGCTTTTATTTGTGTTTTCCAATGCTGCATATTCTTACAAGTGGAAATTTGGGGTGGAGCATTGGCAATGTCTTTTTTATCTTGTCAAGCAGATATGTTCACACAACAATCCATTATGCAGTCGTGTTAATCAAGTCGGTATGTTATGACGTTAGAATGCATCGTCTCTTGAGGAAATACACAGCTTGTTATTTGTACCACATGCAAGAAGCATAGATTAGCTCTGCAGATGGGGAGAGCACAGGGGACAGGAGAGTTGCATCTTCCCCTTTTGAATGTCTTGGAGGAGCAGTCATGATATTGTCGTAACCCATCTTGGTTTTCATCAGTATCTCCTAGGGCTGCAAAGAGGATTGGATTTTCAGCTATCTATAGCACCTCCGCAATCCACCAGCAACCCACACCGCTGCCATTGACGAACGCACACAACGCTTTCATTACCAATGCAGCCCTATAAAAAATACAATATTGTTACCGCCCCTTCAGCTGCACCATAGATCATGTGGAGAGGTGGGCCAAAGTATAGGGTAGCTAATTTCAGAAATATTTAAAATGGGACACTAGCTACACTTTGATATCCGTTTTAAGGCCTCAGATTCTGCTCTGCAGGGGAAGGTGAGACTTCTGAATAATTGATGCACAAAAGGAAAATACCTTGTTTTAATGAGTTATTTCTGAAATTCTCCACACAAAAATGAGCAAGGAAGTCTCCAACATGCTCATTTCTATGTTTATTTATTTGTAAAGGATGAGACATCTCTTTTCTAGTCCTTTTCATCCGTTTTCCCTGCCAAACGGACAAAGAACAGTCAAGACCATAAGTACATACAGTACAAACAAACAACATGTCAAACTCTTGTCACGACCCCTTCCTCCTCTCTGTGGTCGTGCTCTGTACTGCCGTCTACTTCTCTGTACAGGTGGAGCTGTGGGCGGATCCTTGGAGCGTGGTTCGTCAGGGCCCGACGCGCCACGCCTATTTATGGACCGGCCTGCTGACAGCCTCACTCTCTCTCAGCTTGCGTTCTGTGCCACCCCACTTTGTTTTCTGTTCCCGTTATGGTTTTGTTCTGCATCACACTTCACATCGCACCATACGAACACCCATCCATTCACTCGCATGAACCACTGATCTTACAGACAGTCACATCTCGTTATTATTTTTACGTTGGTATACTTGGGTTAATCTTTTGTTTAATAAACACCCTTTAAGTATTCCATTTTGAGTTGTCTGCGTCCACATTTGTCATGGCCTTGAGCCAGGTTATGACACTCTAAAATAAAGGTTTTCTAATCCCATCAGATTCAAACCCATAAGCCTACGTGCTGCTCCAAACATTTGATTAATCAATTCTCTGCATGTTAAATATCAAACATATGTTTAATGCTGTTTATCTTATCAAACAACTAGACAGCATGCATAGAAATATGGACATTACAGCTAATTATTTTACATATATATTTTAACCATGTATTTTTTTGTTTCATTTATCCTCATACAAACATGAAATATTGTACATTCACACAGGTATCTTGATCTTATGTGTAATTATTCCATGCGTTAGAAAAGGCTATATGCAGATTTATTTCAGATTTCAGAATTTTTTCTGGTGACTGTGAGATGGGAATAAAGACACACATGTAAAATATATGTATATACATGTGAAATCATTTTATTTCCCTTTTCATTGCTTTACTTTTTTTACCCTAACCCTGGCAATCTGTTCCTCATGATAATCTCTGTTTTCTAGCCATTAGAACTGAGCAATTTATTTTTGTTTGTTCCGCACTACTTTCTGCAAAGTCTCACAAAGTCATTACAAAGGAGACACGTAGCGATCATATTTACATTACAGGTTCCATCTTGGAGCTTAGGTGATGTATTCAAAAGCTCTGTGTGGAGAGAGACGGATAATAATTGATTTTCAGAATATTTTTGAGACAGTACGGTGGTAGATACAGCGATGTGTACTTGTCAGCTGGGTTATTGATTTGTGACTGGTGAACGGTGCAGAGAGCAGTGAGTGATGAGGGGCAGGGGCACGGCCCTCTCGTCTGGTACGATTAAGACTGGGTAAAGCAACTTATGTATTTTTGTTTTTGTTTTGTACAATAGTCCCGGAAGAGGAAAATTAGTCAATAGCAGCAAACCCTTTAAGTCATTATGTGACCGATTACTATGAAATAAATATTCCATATCTAGCCACATTTAGCTCCAAAGCACTCATTACTGATGCAATCCACCTGCTGGATTTAAGATAGAAATGGTAAAAACCTTTGGTGTTAGGTATGATTACTTATTTTCAGTTTATTTTGTGTCATTAAACAATCAGCATCAAGTTGCCCTAACCGGGGGCCAGCAAATGTACAGATGTAAATAATGTTACAGTTCATCGTTGACAATACATTTGATCAACCCATTCTAATCTTTCAGGGTAAACCATTCACTCTCAAACCTCCACTTCCTATTGCATATTCTAATAATAGAAAAGAAACAACGGTGAGGATCTTGGTTCTGACCTGTGTCAGGATCACACTGGTGCTCACAGGGGTCGAGCAGGCGCCGTCCACACAGCTCATTCACCCAGGGCCCGCTGGCGTTCTGCTGGTAATACAACAAGATCTGAGCCGGGTTCAGCCAATCAGACGCATCCAGCTGACTGCCCTGGAGCAAGATGAACCGTGAGCCTGCAGAAGAGACAAGGAGAACATAAGGTGTTAGTTATGTACGGTGAAAATTATTGATTGGGCTCATAGGCCGCAGAGCTCAGTGCTCCATGAGTGTAAATCTGTAGCCAAATATATGTGTAACAACACCCTAGCAACCAAACAGCCAATCAGGTGCTGGTTCTCTACAATTCTCCACACATGCACTGTGTTCAGTCTGGTCTATGGTCATGATATCGTGTGTTGTGTTATCAACATATAAACATCTCAAAGTCTTTGCAATACACAATACCAATTTCAATATCGTAATGCTGTTTTTCAAGATGGGCTGTCATGTTGAATGCAGATATTAAAAGAACATTATTGGACGTTTTCATGAAACACCAACGTCATAAAAGTTTTCAATATTGAAACTTCTCAAAAGAGGCTCTGGTTTCATCAGTTTTGAATGAGAATAGTTCATTGTCAAATGGCGCAGTGGCACAGCGGTTAGCGCTTGTGCCTAACAGAAAGAAAGTCTTGGGGTTGATTCCAGACAGGGCCTTTCTATGTGGAGTGTGCATGTTCTCCCCGTGTCTGTGAAAGTTTCCCCAGGGTGCTCAGGTTTCCCCTACCACTAAAAACATATATTAGAGGTAAAAAGCCCACAAAATTCTGACCAAGCCAAGCAACAAAATCTGGTGAGGGGTCTCAGGGTGCTGTGCTACGGCGACAAGTGCTTCAGACAGAGGTCCTAGTGGCATTACAGCACGGGTCAAATGCAGAGGACAAATTTCCCTATGGCAACATGAAATATAACTAAACATAAAAGCAAACATTGATGAACTGTATTCATCGTTTAGGCTTTGTCCATGGTTCTGATGGGTGACAAATAGAATCCAGCAAGACAATTCTTTTGACAATAGGAAGAAGCTGAAGAAAATCTTTTGTGAATAGACCCTTTCTCTTCATAATCTAAGAAACAGACAGTAGACACAATATAATAACACATAACACTTACTCGTTCAACATGTATTGATTGTAGGATTAACTCGTGTTTTTTTATTATTATTTATTACCCAATCAACGACACACATCTAAATACGCAAAAGTTAGCCTAATATTCATCAGTACATTTCAGCTTTGAAAACAAATGAAGAAATTATGGGATAATTGTATCCTTGTGTTGGTTTCGAAGATTACACCATGTGTTTTTAAACAAAAGGATGAAGCACCAGGAGATGGGCCTGGACACAGCAGGTAGACTGTCATGTGTTGCCTGATCATTGTGCATTAGCCTCACAAACCACTGAACAAACTCTGGTCCATTTGCAAACACGGGTCACAGTGGGCTCTGTTAATCCAGGCATAGTTAATGAGCTGTTGGCAAACCACATGTGTGGCAGATCTACTGCCAACCTCTTTGATGCTCCCTCATAGCGGGCGCATGCATCCGACTGCATGTCCAGTTTGTGTAGGAACCCTGAACTCCGGTTTCATTATATTCACACATTATCTTTACTTTTCATGACATGCTTTTTACAGAAAAAAACAAAGTATTAAATGAACATATTCAATATGAACAACAACTTGGAATAGTTGCAAGGTTCATATATTATTCTGAATACTATTGTAGAGTTTGAAATAATGAACCACTAATGAAACACTCACAAATCAGAATACAAATATACTGATATTTGAGACAGCTGATGGTCTCTATAAACAAGTTTGAGCATAATTAAGATAATTATAAAGGTATAACATTGTATCTTAGACACAAGAGGGGCACGCATTCCCAGCTGCTAGCATTAATAGGCTCTTTCCCCAGTTGAAAGAATCCAGATTTTCATCCGATTCACCATGACATCCAATCAAGTCTGATGAGATTGTGGAGACATTTATGGAAACATTCTAAATCGATTACAGTTTTGTAATTCAACAGGCGAATTCGCCATCTTTCATCTCTCCTTTCAAAGTTCCCTCCCAAGACCCTCACTGGAATTTTAATACCATCCTGGCAAAACTGTGAATGGCGTAAGAATGAAGCGCACCTGCGAATCAAATCAGAGCAAGCGATGATAGATGAGTGAGGCTGGTCACAGTCCATCACAGGCCTGTGTGGCTGCAGCCAGGGCTTCACCGTCTCAGCTGCGTGTGAAAACTGGGTCTTTAGCACCAGTAAAAAGTCTTGAGCAATGTATGTTTATATACCAAATTAAATAAAAAAATTCTAGAACAAAATGTATTATGCAAAACACATAATCAATTATGTATTTTGCATAATACAAAATTGTATTAATAGCTCAATGTATCGATTAGATAAATAGATCAGGGGGTGTGCTGATCAACATGAACAAAGGATGGAACTGATATAAAGCCAAAGCTCTAATTAGCCAATACTAATAATGAAGGGTTTTATCTTTACTCTTTTGAATGCACTGTGGCTAGTTATGATTTTAATCCCATGTGTGATTTTAATGTTTTAATATTTTTATTTACTTGTGCGGTTTAATTGTTTATGTTTTTATTATTTCTTGTGATCTTAAAGTTTGTTTATAATGCCCTGGGGATTTTAATTGTATGTTTAAATGTTTGTGTAGATTTTAATGTTCATGATTTATGCATGATGTGATATGGGTTGTGCAGTGCTTTGTACTGCCTTACAAAGACGTTCTACATATAAAAGTTGATTGATTGATTGATTTTATACAATACTGAGAATAATAATAACGTTGCAATAACATCAAATTGAATTCCTTAGTAGACCGAGTTAAAATGATCTGTCCAAGTTGCTTTCTCATTACTGTTATTTCACGCTGCAGGGATGGCGCTGTGGTCCATAGATCAGAGGGGCAGTGATATGGGCCTTACAGCGGGTGGTCCTGACCCGCCTGGCACTGCCCTGGTTATGCCACAAAGCTTTGAGGCCACATCTGTTGTGTCGGCCCCATGGGAAGAACTCCGCAAGGGCGGGAGTACGTGGGAGAGGGCTGATGCGAAATTCTGACCTGGCATTTACCTTTGTGTTCGTGGCAGCGCTTCAAATTACCGGCTCAACCCCAGAACGGCGCTCTGAGAAATACAGTCACAGCGGATGTGTTCCTGAGAGGGTGCCAGAAAAATGCCAGCTCAGCCCCCCGTGGATGAGGGCCCACCCGGTGTGAGTGCGTGTGTAAATCTCACCGTCGGCAATGAGGTGCTCTGGCACGTGGAGGATCACCCGCACCGACAGACTGCAGGCCAGATGAGAGGCGTACACTAGGCCCAGGGCGCAGCTGATGACACTGATGAGAGTCAGGGTGGTCTTATTGATGGGGCTTCGTGGGGAACCTGCTGCTGGTGACATGTGCACAGGGGCAGGGGTAGAGAGAAGGACACAAACAGAGCAGAGATGTGAGGCACTGACCCGGTAAACCTCATCCAATTGACAAACACAGAGAATACTCCGGCACAGGCTGTCAAGATTATATAAAAAGCGTTTTGAAAACAATTTATTTATGTAGCCATCATTAGCTCTCCCCTCTTTGCATACAGTTGTACAAACAGGCATATTGACAGAGAACAGAAAATCTAATTCAGCTTGACGTTTTTTGAAAAATTCCACATTAAATATTGTTGAACTGCAAAAGGCCAAATGCAAGTAAACCTAGTTCAAAGCATGTGTTTTGAAGCAAGAGCAGTTCTAAAATGAAAAAAAATATATATATATTTATTCAAAGTATAACTTTCCGAGCTAGGTCAGATGAGTCAATACATTAAATAGTCATGTGTCATTCCACCTTATAACATTTCACATCATAAAAGGGTCAGAAGTGTACATATACGCAAATCTAATCTTTGGTAGAATTGTTTAATTTGGGAATATGGGTAGCCTTCCATAAATATACTAAAGTAATGTGTTGATCCACCTGAACTTGCACAGCAAGTTTTATCAGGAAATTGTATAAAAAAACTTGAGAAAGTGTTTATGTAAATGTGTGACTCCCGATTAAACTAGAGGGTATTTGTATGGTAAATTAACATATGCAGTAGCTTGCATTCATAAATGTATTGTAGTATCTTGATAGGGTATTGCTACCTTAAGAGTATCTTCACCATGGATAAGGGTGCATTTTGAGGGGATTTTGGTTTTCCTTGTCATCATGAACTTCTTTTTCTTTCTCTAATTGTGCTCTGATGGTCAGAACGCTCATGTGTTATTCTGGTCCTGTGGAAGTAGAATCACTATTCTCCCAGTTATCTAGCTCAGGTCAGACATGGATAAAAACAGTAATGGTGGATTCAAGCATAACTACATTAATTATCATATCATCTCCTTGGTAACTCTTGTCAAGGTCATTCCAAGGTCTGTTATCCGACCTCTGAAAGAAAACTAGAGCACAGCAGACACATGCATGTACACACACACACACACACTAAAGAACACACACTAAAGAACACACACTCGTAACGCCCAAAGCTTCACTCATTCTCCAAACAGACTGAAAAATAGGCTTAGCGTCCATGAAAAGGTCTGAGGATCAAAAAGCTTGGCCTTTGGGAGCTTTTGGGCTGGTGGCACACAAATCGGGTTTACCTTTGACGGCTATGAAAAACCACGCAGAGGTGTAGTGGCTAGGATCCACGCTGAGACCTGCCTCAATGAGGAGAGGTGTTTTTGCCCCCATTTTTCAAGCGAGAACTTCCCTTATCTGTCCCCCCGCAGAGAGCACTATGTAAAGTGTTAAACGTGACCTCATAGCCGCAGGGTCAACCATTCACGGCAAATTCACAAATTCACATACACTGAGTGACCTTGAATATTGCCACTCGCAGTCTGGCTAAAGTGGTCATTTTTCTTTGCAATATAACTGAGATTACATTGTCACTTTTAAATTACTGTGGCAGAACTTTTTATATTCAAACACTGCCCAAGGCAACGCTTTAAACAAAAGCCAAGTAAAAAGCCGACCTGTGCTTAAAGGCAATTTATTAAATCAAGTACCCTGCTGGGGAGAACAGGCTATCCCTGCGTGATACAGGAAACAGATTGCATTGTTTTTTTTGTATGTGAATTAATGGTTTTGTATTGGATTGATCTCATACGTATATCTTCAAATGTGGTTGCTGTTGTTTTGGCTTTGTGCTTCTATGTGATCTAAATAAATGCATGTTATTACCAATAAACCAATGAGCATGTATCATTTATGCAAAGAGAACAACTACATTCTGACCTTCAACTTTTTAAAATATTTTTTTACTTTTCAGCCATAATGCATCCCCGCCTTGTGCCCCTCCTGCTTTCTGGATCTAAGTGACACAGCCAGGCCACCGTTGTGCTCTCCTCCTGCTATTCTTACACATTGCTCTAATTAAAGGTGTTGCTTCAGGAGGCTCGTGTCTGTTTGCAGCACCTGACGACAGAATAATTGGCTCGGAGGCGTAGACGGTAGCAGCTTATCACGCCTTGTGACAGCAGCGATTATTTTGAGGCCATCCTGTCTTTATCATCACCACTTTAATCCCCGCACCACATCTGCACAGCGCTGCAGGGACGAGGTGTGCCAACGGAAACGCAGATCCGCTATGACAACATTTGCATTGGGAACGCCTTTGAAATAATGTAGGTGTGTGATGTATCAGGGTTTGAATAGGTCACCTATATCTGCGACATATTGCCATACCTGCTACGACTGATTACAAGACTATTCAACTCAGTTACACAGTGCACACATTGCAAGTTTTCTGGACAAAGCTTCGCCACCTGCAGACACCATTAACACCCTTGTGACACTGTGTTTTTTTAGATGGAAAATTCTGGAATCTATGCACCTTTAAACTGCAAACCCACAACCTGCCTAACCCTACCTGAACCATATTATGTTCTGCTTGTTGGCATGCATTTATTTGCATTATTTTTTTCATAGAAGGCTCATGTTAACAGTTGTCTCTCTCTCTGGGGGGTGAGCTGCAGATGCTAAACCTGCAATTACAGTAGATTGACCAATCAGCTGACAGTGTGTGACATCACAGCTGCTCTCGCTATCTCTACTATAGAGGAGGCCCTCTGAGGTCTTCCAGATTATTTCTTTGTGTGCATGTATTGTTCTGTTGTCTATGTATACAGTATCCTTGTTTTTTTGACTTATCTATGAAGTGACAACATAAAAACTTGTGCAAACACTGCTACTGTAACAAGTACATTTTTCTTTCAGGTTAAAAGAAAGTGAATTATGGTATGTGCCTCTGCAACTACTAATATAATGACTACATATCTTATTGTTAAATGGCAACCAATACACATTTCATAGATTTGACACGATTTAGAAAATATACTTTAGAGTAGGGCTGTAACGACTAGATACAACTAAAACATGTTTTTATGATAAATATTAACAACCATTCTGGTAATTGTTAACTGCTCTATATACAGACTCAAACACATAAATGCGCTGAGAAATATGGTTCTAAGCCTCAAACATTGTACTAATGCAGATAAACATACACAACAAATTGTGTAAATGTCTTTATTTCTATGTTAAAAAGATTGCAAATATACTCAAATACTATTTCCTACAGTGGGTTAGTCCAAGCTGTACCAGTGACTTATCAAAAATGTAATAATAGTGCTCTAAATTAATATGAATATGAAGAATGGCAAGAGTAATTGATTTGCAAGTAATCGCTATACAGCCCTACTTTACAGTTTTTTTTCCACCTGGTAATAGTATTTCACACACAGACTTGTTCATGTGGATGTTAGTGCATAATATGATGACCAAACTGTGTGCATCTGATTTGTGTTCATATGCAGATGCACTACTCATGCAAATCACCGTTCCAATATACAATTACATTCAACAGACCACAAACTGTACGAGGATCAGATGGAAGGCTCGGGTCATCCAGTTCTTATGCACTGCAACGGTCATGCATGGACTGACACGACGGACACTGCAGTGTGTAGTAGAACGGCGTAGTAATAGTACTCCTTACCCCCGGAGCCCCACACGCTGTTGGCGTTACCGTTTCTCATACCTCGACTGCGGCGCCGACTGCGGTTTGGGTCAGTGTAATAGGCCAGCTGAGGCTCGCTGTCCGCCTCCGTCCCAGAGTCTCCGTCTGGGTTCAAGAAAGTGGAACCCGCTGCAGGAGTCACAGGAAAGACTGAATTTATGCAAGAAAACCAAGATGAAGAGATGGTGTGGATTCAGAGGGAGGTTGGTGGCAGGATGGCTGTATGGGTTTGGTTAAAGGGGCTAATAGTTCCAGCTAAAGCAACAATACAAAAATATGAGCAGAATTGTCAAAAATAGACCATCCACTAGCTCATCAATGCAGAAAAAAGGACGCCAAATTCGTCCAGATCTCAGTAAAACATAAACATCGACTCAAACAGTATGGACTTATGGGTTATGAATGTGGAAATGGACTGAGAAATGACGATGTGGTAAAGAGTGTGCATATATGTTCTGACCTATGTTGTTGTAATGTATGTGGTAGTTGTATGTAACCCTGTGTGACCCCAGTCCCTTTGGAATATTATGGAAATTAGCCCTTGGCAAAAATCTGACATGCTCACATTAACTCTTTTAAATAAATATATAAACACATAAATACATACTCAATCATCAACAAACATGTACACTACCCACATGTACATTCGGAAAAAATACAATACACACTGCTTGATTTTAATGTTGTATAACCTAAAACATAGATTATAAGATATTTCCCAAAGAAAAAAATAAAGCATACATTGTAAACATTTTGTCAAATGTGAATATATGATCTATCTTCACAAAAGTAGAACGCTGTTTGTGCACCTTGTAGTCTTTTCATCTATGATTGTTTTTTTATTTTGTGCAGAAAATCTTTGGGGAAATGGGTTTTGAGTGAGCAGCACCTCCGCAGATAGAGCTGTTTAATAAAGCTTGCCTTTGTGGAGCTGGTATTGTGTGACGCCACAAAGACGGAGAGGGATCTAATAAAGCATCTTATCAAACTGAATATGTGAGTTTCTGTTAGTTCCCCTGTCTGTTATAGGCCATAGGTGCATATACACTATGTATAAGAGAAATGCTCCAACTGAACCTTCACTCTCACATACATGATTCAAAACATCTGCAGTTCTGACATATTGTGCAATTAAATTAATCTCATGTTTTACAATAAACTAATGGGTCTCAAAGGTGAGTTCACTTGTTTCTGCTTATTTTTAAGTGAATTGAAATGTAGAACTGGAAGTAGGGCTAGGCGATTTAAATGGTATAAGCGGTATGCAATAAAAATTTGGCCAACGATTAGGGATGTAAAAAACTATGAATTTTCATGACCGACCACCGAGCCTCATTAACCGGTTGAAACCGGTTAACCGCGTAGTTTAAAATAGTCCACGTTCTTTGAAATAACAGCCATTTCGAGCCGCGTACTTTTCATAAGTGCAGCTCTGCGTTCTACTGGATCAGAGCCGAGACAGCGGCGCCCAAACCCGCAACAGCTCCGGCACCTTTGCGCACAGAGAACTCCTTTTTTAATCTTCCCATTCTGCTGTGCTGCGGGTTAATACCAAAACTTTCTAGCAGCAAACGACGGCTCGTTCACATGGTCAGAGCAGCGAGTGACGACCCGCGTCTCACAGGTCTTCACAAAAGTTTAAATACAAGTGATGTGTGTGGGGCTGATCCCGAGGACCATAAACACAAACATGTTTCCCCTACAGCAAAACATGTAGGGGAAATACGCGACTCCCAAAAGGAGCCGCGTATTTGCGCGAATCCTTTGGGCTCCGTGACACAGAGGAGCGCGACAGACCGGTATGTGTGTGTGTATGTGTGTGTGTATGTATATGTGTGTGTGTGTAAATGTAAGCTCCAATGTAGTTCTGACCCGCGCCAGTGTGCAACTTTGACGGTAAAAGAGGGGAGAGATGATGCGTGTGGATGTTACGTATGGAGAGGGGGAAAGTGTGTGTGTGTGTGTGCGCGCGCGTGCGTGTGTGCATATGTGGCTCGTGCGGCGTGAGAGTCGTCCCGGAGTTTATAATACATGGGCGCATACAGCTAGATACAGACCCGCTCGTCACCCCATGCAAATAGGGCTTAAAATAGCGTTATTAAGAGACCTCCCCTCTCCCCTTTTTCTCTTTTTTAACCGACAGCTTTGACCGGTTAACGCTGTGACGGTCAACCACCGGTTAACCGGTCGCCGATTTACATCCCTACCAACGATAGAGATTTTTGTTATACCGTCATATTGCGATAGGTCATTATGTCATCAAATTGCGCAGGCTCTGACGCCAGCAGAAAGCACCAAAACAACCGGCACTCAGCAGCATTAGCCTAGCACATTAGCCTAGCAGACACCACTGGAAACAGCGAACAACAGCACGGCATTCACACCGTGTTTCTGTCTCTGTATTGTTGTCACAGCGGCCCCAGCAGAGGTAAATACACACACAGTAATCACAGTTTAAGCGTCTACCTTTGATCACATCGTGATAGTAGAGTTGTTGGATTTTCATCAAAGTGAATGAATTTATTCAAAGTTTAGACAGCTTTGGGTTAACCTACGTGTGTGGTGGGATGCAGCATTCTCCCATCCCCCCAGTCATGAGTGAAAGACTAGTTTTGATAAGTAGGAAGCCGAAAACATCTGGTTTTGGTTAGTCTGGTATAAGACCAGAGCTCTTTTGCCCATTCCTTTGTCTGTCTGTGCTGATGTCCAGATAACCTGTAGTTTTGAACCAGCGGCTGACAACATGTATTAAAGAGATTATGTTGTTCAAATGTGAGTAGTTTTTTCACAATGGGCTAATGCTGGTGCCCACAGTATCATCACAGCAGAAGTGTGGTAAAGTTAGCGTCAGATTTAAACTCCCGCGGTCAATAGCTCACAAAAGCTACTTTGTTGAACAAAGGAAATTGTGCCAAAATGATCACATTTACATAGATTGTTCAAATCCAACGCGCTGTTTTAATGCAGAGAAATCCATTGCTGCAAGTGCCAAGAAAAGCGCTTAGGGAGCGTCAAAAATGTCAAGACCAGCTTTGTAAACGAACATTAGCTTTTATTGATGCTATGTACACGCACAAAAGTCTCAGGCACTTTAAATAATGACCATGTCTAACTGCTACAGATTTTGATTTCAACATTTGTGAGTTTTTTATATTTTAAATAAGTACATATGTTTTTCTTTTTTTAAATTGCTTTTACAGTAAATGGTCTTTACTGTAACATGCATAAATGATGTATGTTACAGTAACTATCTTTTAATTTGCCTCACACCTGATTTTCAAACTCAAAATATTTTATGCAAGAACCTGCTAGACCTATATTGAAAATCACACACCAAATTATACCGCAATATGAATTTTAGGCCATATCGCCCACCCCAAACTGGAAGGACATTATTTGGTCTCAAAGATGAGAAAAGAAAATCTAGTGAGCAGTTTGGATACTGGGTCGGGGGGGGGGACCCAACGCTCATAGCACCAGTCCCTTGCTGATCTTCTGCAGGTGGATTCACCACCTGAAGATCACCTGCAGAAGATCAGTATCCACAAACAAAGCCATGATAATGGGATGAAAGCTGCACTACCTAACTTTTGAACCAGAAAAAAACAATGTAATAAATTCCATTTAACTCTCAAAACTGTATTTTTTCAACCACTATCTGGCATCTGTCACTTCTTTAGATCACTTTTTTCAGTGAAAAAGAGAGTACCAGGCCTAAGGTAAATCCTCCAGCTCCGGTAGTCCTGACCAAGCCGAGCATCCACATCTGGAGATGGGTTCCCGGGCACTGCACTACGGTGACCACTGCTTCAGACGAAAGCCTTAGTGGCATCAGAATGGGTCAAAAGCAGATAATGAATTACCCTACGGGGATTAATAAAGTGCACCTTTACCTTTACCTTCTTTACCTTTAATATAAAGAAGCATGTCTTGGTCCAATGTGTTAACTATATGTTCTGAAACAAGGTTGTGTTGTGCCAAACAACATGAAGTTATGCAACAAAAGCAAAAAAAATGTCATTCAGATCAAAATGAATGTATAACATAAAACTAAAAAAAAGTATTTAGTTAGCCACCAATTGTCTTCAAACGTAAAAATGTAATATAAAAGCAAGTACATGACTCCTGCCCCCATTCAAGCTGCCCCAAACTACAATAATGCCAATTGTTTAGATAAGATAAGATAAACCTTTATTAGTCTCACAGTGGAGAAATTTCGGTGTCATCGTTGCGCACATTACAGCAGAGAAAGAAGGTGATAAGAGCACTCAGATTGCACACATCAAAGTCTATTATTTAAGATGATAGACAATACATTTAAGATAAAATAAAATTAAATGAGATAAACTCTGGGCTATAATTGCACTTGGTTCAAATGGCACTTGGCACATTTGGGATAAAATGTGCACTTTGGTGGTGACTTTAGTTGGCAATCTATTTAACGACTAAAAAGGACAAAGCAGTGTTGTTCTGCTGGCTCTGCAGGATACTGTACACAAGACTCCACCAGCTCACAGTGAGATTAAACTGGAGGAGATCCCTGAGAAACAATGGGCTGATGGGAGCAGAACTGGCAACTCAGCGGATCCAGCCCACAGAGAAGGAGACAGTGATGACAGCAGCTTCATCAGCGTTTCATATTGTTGCGTCTGGAATAATACGCAGATATGAATGCACAGGGTAAATATTATTGGCAGCAACAACAATCTGGGAGCGCATACGTTGGCACAGCTTTTCAGAGTGTAGTGATTTCTGACGACAGGCCGCCGTTTCAGAAGGGCTTTATATATTTTCCAAAGAGTACGTTTAAAAGAAAAACAAGCAGTATGGAGTCGAGCATCTCCGTTTTGGGTCTTACTGTTGCCAAGTTGTCCATGGCCAACTGGACACCATATAGATAGAAATAGCCACTGACTCATTCTTATGAAGAGGTTCCGTCAAACTCAGGTTTTGATCAGTGGGGGCGGGTCCCGGCTCAATTGTGGCCAAATTGACGTGCGCTGACATGCTTGCAATACCAACCCGGGCCGATGGGGGTGGACCCGGAATAAGAATTAGCCAATGCTAACATATAGCATCTTCTTACCTCTCGAAAACACCTTTACAGGATGGTCCAAAAGTTGGCTCTT